CCCTGCTCCCTCTCCTTATACTGGTCCCACAGGAGGTCTTACAGAGCGTCGTGAGCCTGAGTCTCGTCCTGCGTCGCCTGTTCGTCCTGCTCGCACTGGTAGTCGTGTCCGTCGTGAGCGTCCTCCGCCTGTCCCAGGCACTCACTACATGACTCTGCGTCCCTCTACTGCTCCTCGGCGTGTCCCTCTACCGTCTCCTCCTGCGTCCTCTTTGCCTGCCGTTCCGGACCCTGAGTCTGACCGGTATCGCGCTGAGCACCCTACAGTCACGCGTCTCCTTGCTACTGTTGTCACTGACCCCACCTTTGAGTCCTCGGCTGCGTCTGCTCTGGTCGCTGAGTTGGTTGACTTTGCTGCTGTCTGTCGTCTAGACTACGCTGCTAGTCTTGTCGCTGAGTCAGAGTCTGCGTCTGTCTGTCCTCCGTCCGTCGGGGGTGAGTGTGCTCTTGGCACGGACGTCCTTGAGGACAGGCAGGAGGACTTTGACTCTCTTGCGGCTGCTGTACCTCATCTCGTGGCCTGGTTGCTTGCCCCTGAGGGAGACCCGGATGCACTAGACATCCCCACTCCGCGCACTTACGCAGAGGCGATCTCGGGTCCCTACTTCTCTCAGTGGCAGACAGCCATGGACGCAGAGATGGCATCCTGGAAGTCCACAGGCACCTACGTCGACGAGGTTCCCCCTCCTGGGGCGAACATCGTCGATGGCATGTGGATTTTCAGGGTGAAGCGGCCGCCAGGTTCTCCGCCTGTCTTCAAGGCTCGTTACATTGCTAGAGGCTTCAGTCAGCGTCAGGGGGTCGACTTCTTCCAGACCTTCTCCCCCACCCCGAAGATGACCACTCTTCGGGTTCTGCTGCACGTTGCTGCTCAGCGTGACTACGAGCTTCACTCTCTTGACTTCAGCACAGCGTTCCTGCAGGGCAGCCTGCACGAGGAGATCTGGCTGCGCCGCCCACCTGGCTTCACTGGGTCGTTTCCCCCTGGTACCCAGTGGAGTCTCCGGCGGCCAGTCTACGGTCTCCGCCAGGCGCCACGTGAGTGGCACGACACACTGAGGACTACTCTTGCGGCTCTTGGGTTCGCGCCGTCTACTGCTGACCCGTCGCTGTTTCTGCGCACTGACACGTCGCTGCCGCCGTTCTACATCCTCGTGTACGTCGACGACTTGGTCTTTGCTACTGCTGACACTGAGGCACTCGCTCGTGTGAAGTCGGAGCTGCAGAAGAGACACACCTGCACTGACCTGGGTGAACTGCGTAGCTACCTTGGCTTGCAGATCACCCGGGACAGAGCCCGTCGCACCATCACCCTGACTCAGTCACACATGGTGCAGCAGGTCCTTCAGCGCTTCGGCTTCCAGTTCTCCTCACCACAGGCCACACCTCTGGCTACCAGCCACTCACTCTCAGCTCCACCTTCGGACGAGTCCGTAGAGCCGAGTGGCCCGTACCCAGAGCTTGTAGGCTGCCTCATGTACCTGATGACTTGCACGCGACCTGACCTCGCGTACCCTCTTAGCATCCTTGCTCGTTACGTTGCGCCTGGGAGACACAGGCGAGAGCACTGGGAGGCTGCTAAGAGGGTGCTGCGGTACCTGTGCAGTACATCAGGCATGGGGCTGGTGCTTGGAGGACGCGACAGAGTTGTCCTCACTGGTCACTCGGACGCCTCTTGGGTGGACGACCTGGCTACGCAGCGGTCGTCACAGGGTTACACCTTCAGCCTTGGCTCTGGTTCTGTCTCGTGGCGGTCCACCCGCTCTTCCTCTGTTCTCGGCTCTAGTTGTGAGGCTGAGATCTACGCCACAGCCATGGCTGCACAGGAGTTACGCTGGCTCACCTACCTGCTGACTGACCTGGGAGAGCGGCCTAGTTCTCCTCCAGTTCTGTACGGTGACAACAAGGCGGCTCTTGCCTTGTGTCAGGAGCACAGACTGGAGCACAGGACGAAGCACATTGCTCTTCGCTACTTTCTTGCTCGAGAGCTTCAGCAGCGCGGTCAGCTTCGGCTTGTGTACGTGGACTCGAAGGCCAACACTGCTGATATCTTCACCAAGGCGCTCCCGCCTAGTGATCATCAGCGGCACTGTACTTCTTTAGGCCTTGTGTCCACGTTTCCTCACTTGCTCACTGCTTGACATTCTTTGTACTGTACTTTATATATATCTTGTTGCTTGCTTGCTAGGTTTTGATCACTGTGTTGCTTGTCTTGTACTATATCTAGCACTGCATGTGAACTGGCCTTGTGGCCTTTACTTGTGCTCGGAGTGTGGTGACGTTGTGATCCACCCTGGGCTTTGCTTTGCTTTGCTGGACTGGTCTTGTGACCCTTTGTTCTCCCCCACTTTGCCTATGGGGGTGTGTTAAACTGTATTATGCTTGTAGGCTGTAGTGGGGTAGCCAATATGGGGTACAACCCCAACTAGGGTTTCATATTTGTACCCAAACTTCTGCTAGTTCATTCATTCTTGCCTAGTGATTCTGACAGGGACGTGGTGCAGATTGGCCCGATCTGAGTGCGATTGCGTCAGATTGGGCAATCGACCATTTCCAAGAAGCCGCAGGGGTAATTTTAGGCAATCGCATGCAATCGGGGGCAATCTGTCGATTGCAATCGGCAATCCGATCGATCGCGATCGATCGCCCCGATCTGACGCAATCTCTTGCGATCGATTGCAATCGACAGATTGCCTCAGATCGCGGGGCCTGGCGACAGTTGCGAACAGTAACTTCCTCTGACGAAGTTCGACACTGCTCGCAGCACCATCGGATATCGCGATATTGCAGCATGGAAGATTCGGGAACCCAAAAGGGGGCTACACTGTAAATGCGCGATACCGTTTTTTCGCCAGGTGTCGCCAACTTTGCATGGAAGGGACGGGGAACAGCCTAGAGCCCGCGCGGCTGATTCTCACTTACTTCCCCGAAATTCATAATTTGAACGCGCGGCTCGGGACGCAATCGACAGATTGCCTCAGATTGGGGCAATCCCACCCAATCCGACCCGACCCGACCCGATCGTCCGATCTGATGCGATCGGTCGCCCGATCTGCACCACGTCTTAAGAGAGTCGTGCTGTTACGCGCAATCATTCTTGCCGAAAGCCTCATCGGAAAAACGTCGTCGGAGCGGTTTTGCGAGTGTCGACAGGAGGGGTCGTCGGAGCCGGGTCTGACGAGGCGGGCGACTGACGCGCGTGCGGGCCCGCCAGCCTGGCCCAGGGCTGGGCCGAGCGCACGACCGCCGCCCCGCAGCCCCGCTCCGAACGTGAACAGCGACCCACGTTACCGGGTGGGGTCGGCGAACTGGCGACGCCTCGCGCGAGGGAAAGTTACCCTCGCGCGAAGGCAGCCCACACGTGCCACCTGCCCGCGAGGTCCTAGTAACCCATCGCGGCCTGCCCGGACGGGCAGGCGAGGGCCGTGCGAAAATTCGGGGCCCCCTCGGGACACTCGACAATTTCGCGACCCGTTGCGGTGCCGCCACGTGTTCGCCCGTGGCTTCGCATCGGGCGCATGCGAAATTTCACACGCTGCGAAATCAAAAACCTCTCGCAGGGCGATCCGCTACGAAATCGACACGTGTCGGCCGTAGCGTCGCTCCGCGCGCATGCGAAGTGTGCGTCCCCTCACCGACCTGGGCCAATGGACGCGAAGTCGACGCCCTGCCAAGGCGGAGACGGGCCACCCGTGCCACTTGCGCATGCGCCCTCCGAGCCCTGCCGAGACAGGGCCCACACCCTTGGGCGATGCTGAACGGGCCTGGGGTGGGGCACCACCTCCATTTCTTGCTGGAAGGTGGCTTCGCTCCTCATTTTCCGCATCTCGTTTCGATTCTCAGACCTTGACAGCTCTGCGCCTCCCCTCTCTCCTACCTTAGCCGTCCGCGTCTTTTGTTAGTCGATAGATATGGAGCCGAGCCCCGACGCCGATAAGTCGGCGCCGACTTCGGCTGACTTTCCCCTTCGTGTGCGAATGGGTCGCGGTCTCAGCTTCACCTTCGAGTGGAACGACTTCGCCGTCCTTCGCGACCATAGGATAGAGTTCAACGAGAGATGCTTGGGACTCGGCATCAGGTGGGACTCGGGTAGTCGCGGTGGTTGAATAGTGTCGATGGCGGCGCCGACTATCTCTAGCTCCGTTGGAAGTCGCATTGTCGCTGTTTGTCATCAGACTTACGTCCGAGTACGAGACAATAGGCATGGTCCCCGTCCAGGGACGTCGGTCGGCAAAGCAAGCGTCGACCACGTACTGTCCGCGTTTGACGTACGGTAGACGTCGACCTGGTAGCGTTTGCTCAGCAGCCATGTTATCATCCCCTATGCTCACTCGTGCGCTCAGGTTCGCTTGGTTTCGCATTGGGCGGGACGACCAGCGGTTGTGGGTAATCGGAGTCGGCCCGCTTCGATCGGCCATGAAGGCCGCCGACCATTCTTGCTTTGCGACGGTTTTCGACGCCGACATCGTCGCTATCCCATTGCGATCGACGTGAGCTGGTCCCCCGTTGTCCAGTTGTCGTTTTGTGTAGTCGGTCGCATCATCGCCTAATGATGTGGTCGACGCCGTCTTGCATGTGCAGCGGCGGCCCGCTTCCAGGGTCACACTGCAGCGTCATAGCCATCCTCTACCCAGGAGATCTGCTGAAGGCTGAGGGACAGGTCTGCAGGACCTCGATCCGGCACATCGACCCGCATACCGGGAAACTGAAGCACCGCGACGAGGCCGTCCGCGTGCTGAAGTAAGTTGTGAATAGTCGTCGCTTTCTTGCTTGTTAGTCGCCGACAGAGGGTATCACATGCTGACCTTTTTCTTTTTACTACGATGCTCCAGGCTATTCCGCACGGCTGTCCTGGCCGAGCTGGGGCGTCCCGGTAGGAAGTGGGACGGGGCGCCGCCATCACAAGCAGTGGTCGAGGACAGGCTTGCCGACTGCGACGACCCTATCCGCGACGTGAGTTGCGCGCTAAAGCTCCGCTCTAAACGTTCTGCGCGTATCTGTATGCACCGCTCATATTGTTCCGCGCTTGCCGGTGTTGTATGCAGAAAGTGCCAGGCACAGTGTCGGACGGGCATGTCGGCACCGGCATGCTTGCCGCGACGTCGTTCGGGTGGGTGGCCAAGCAGATCGACCTGCTGACGGGCGACAAGGCTCGAAGTGCGGTGAGCATCGAGAACATCAAGGCAAAGGGTTTGAAGTCGCTCCGTGATAGCATGGTCGAGTACATCTGCAATCGCGTCGCCGAAAACCGATCTGCGGCGCCGACTTCTGGAGGCGTTGGAACCGCCGACAGTGCGATTGATGACGACGGCGCGGAAAGTCAGACGGCGCCCCAAGCAGCAGCTGCCGCCCAGCACCAGGTGGACTTGCCGGTGTCCGGAGGAGGCGACGCCGCGGCAGGTGCAGGAGGACGAGGAGGCGACGCCGCGGCAAGTGCAAGAATGAAGGAAGAGGATTCGGAGTCGTCGGACTCGGACTCAGAGTCGGAGTCGGAGGGGGAGGAGGAGGACGAGGCGGCGAAAGAGAAGAAGGTCGAGGAGGATCACGAAGAGGAGGAGGAGGAGGAGGACGAGGACGAGAACGATGAGGTGGTGGAGGTTGAGGAAGGGAAGGATAAGGCGGAGAACGACGAGGAGGGGGTGGAGGCCGAGGTGCAGTACGAGCTGCAGTACGAAGACAGTACGGTTGTGACGTTGGGGTCGACGGATGAAAAGAATGAGGAAGCGGAGGATGGCGATGCGGGTAATGCTACGAGGTCGGCAGAAGATGGGGGGAAGGAGAAGGATGAGGTCGGCGCGGAGGCAACGACGGAACAGGGCCAGGAGGAGGCGGCATGCGAAGGTGCGAAGGTGTCGGTCGACGCCGGCGAAGGTGCGAACATCACGGGCATGCAGGAGACGGAGGAAGCATCTGGTCGGCAGGGCCATGAACAGGTCGACGTCGAGGAACTGCTGCGGGAGAACTTCCTGTTGAGGGCGGAGAACGCTCGGCTGAAGGCGTTGCTCGATGAGGAGCAGGCTCGGCTGGACGGGTTTTTTGGTGGGTTACATGGACTCGTCGACCACCTGAAAGAGTTGGCCGAACAGATCGACGACACCGACAAGTTTGCGGCGCAGCAGCTGCGAAACGCGACGGCGGACATGTCGAAGACCATCACGGGCAACATCACCGGCAGCTTCGACGAAGCGTGGAAGACGATGAAGACATTCGCGGAACAGGCGTCGGCGTGGTTGGAGGACTTCGACAATCCGGAGGGTCGTGTGGCATGTGCACGCGCTGAAGCTGTCGACGCCTTGGCCGAGCACGTGGATGGGGTGGTGGGCGCTGCGAGGCGGGGTTTGGAGCTGTACATCACGACGCAACTATCCGCCGCGCAGGTCAACATCGCCACCGCTGTGACCTCCAGGCTCCCCGTGCAGCCGCCGCCACCGCCTCAGCCCACGCCGCCCGCCCTCCCGGAAGAGCTCTTGAAGTCGTTCAAGGCCGACATCATGAAGACGGTGACGGAGGCCACCCAGCAGTCGTTCGTTGCTTCCGGGATGAAGATGTTGACCGAGATGATCGGCACTGTGGCGCCTGGTCGACGCGGGTCGTCGCCGTCGGCCAATGACGCAGATCAAGCGCAAAGGAGGGCGGCCGACAAGCAGGGCGAGAAGAGGACGGGCGACGGAGACGACAAGGAGAGCGTGAAGCGGAGCAAGGGATCGGACGGGAGCCGCGGCACGAAGCCTCCTGCTCAGAGCGTGGTCGAGCAGCTAAAGTCGAAGGCGGGGTGGAAGGTGATAAGGACGTCGAACAGCAAGGGAAGCGGAAGCGGGAAGGCAGAGGGTGGCCCTGCCGACGGGGTTGCCGCTAACGTCGGTGCACCGCCTGGCCCGCCTTTGGTCGCCGAGCAGACCAAACCGCAGGCGACCTCCGGGAAAGGCGTGACCGACAAGGAGGCCCCTACTGCTCAGGCGGCAAACGACGGCGGCGCCGGAACCACCAAGGGACCGTCCGTCGCGGTGGCGGCCAAGGGCAACGCGAAGGCCGCCTCTGCCAAGTCGATTCCCCGTAAGTCCCCAGCGGCTACCCCCGCGCCGGCCGGCAAGTCAGGCGCCAACAACGATGGGCCGGCCATTGCGGCCCCTCCAGCTCCAGCAGCACCAACTGCCGACAAGGGCGACGCGACGGCTGCTGCGGCTAAGCCCGAAGGTCCGTCACCTGCTAAGGTGCCCGCCGGCAGTAACGCGCTCAGGGAGATGCTCCGCCGCATGGATGCGGATCGCAGGGACGTGCAGCAGCCTCCAGTGGTCGACGCCGCCCTTGCCGAAACAGCACGTCGCTCAGTCACTTCGCAGGTTGTCGGCAAATCGACCGGTGCCCCACCTGCCGTGCCTCAAGTCGCCGCCCCACCGCCCGCGGAACCCAAATCCGCGTTTCTTCGCGCCCATTTAGGCGCACGCAAAGCGGGAGCTCGACAAGTGACTCAGCCGGAACCCGGCAAAAGCGCGACGCCGACGTCGGTAAACGCGACTTCACCCACACCAGGTGCAGCTGTGGTCGCTCGACAAGTGACTCGACAGGAACCCAGCAAAAGCGCGACGCCGACGTCGGTAAACGCGACTTCACCCACACCAGGTGCAGCTGTGGTCGATGCTGCGGCGGAGAAGGGTGTGAGCGCGGCGCTAGCCACCGGCGGCCGAGCCGACAGGCATGCCAACCTCGCTGCCGTTCTGGCTCAATTTGAAGCAGCAAAACGGCCCGAGCATGCCTCAGCACTGGCCATCATGGACACGGCACATGCGGAACCGTCGGGGACCCACGGTGGGGGTTCGGCGGAGCCGACGGCTGCAACGGCTGCTGTCGCCGAGGGAAATGCGGGACGGAAGGGTAAGGACGACACCGGGAAAGGGAAGGCGGTCTCGCAGAAGAGCACGCGGGCGATGTCGGCGGAGAATGAGATGTCGGAAGAGAAAGGGAAGAAGCCGGCATGGAATCAGGACAAGACGGGCGGCAAGAAGCCGGCGAAGAGGAAGGCGAAGGCGGAAGAGGAGGAGGAGGAGGAGGAGGAGGAGGAGGAGGAGGAGGAGGAGGAGGAGGAGGAGGAGGAGGAGGAGGGGGAGGAGGAGGAAGGGCATGGACGCCGGGGTCATGGCATCCGCCGAGACAGGTCTGGCGACGGGCTTGGGTGGGTGGGCGAGATCAAGATTAAGGGCCAGAATCGGTACATCGGCATGTCGCGCGATAAGATGGATCTGGCCTACGAGCACGCGATTGCGTACTTGCTCTACGACGGCTACGTGAGCAAGGTGCTGACGAAGGAGCTCACCGTCTTGAAGCCGGGGCAGTTGGATGAATGGAAGGCGGTATGGGAGGAGCTCAGGTTCCTGTCGACCGGGATGTGGACGGTGATGTGGGCCAGAGGCTTGTGCCATCCGAGAGCAAGGTAAGTCGGTTACCGACGTGCCGAGTTCTGTCGACCAAGTCGGTGTCAAGATCGCTGATGTCGACCAAGTCGTGCTGTTTTAATGTTTTTGCGCGGCAGGTTCGACGATATACTCGGCAGGTACCGTGGGTACGCGAGCTCGGGTGATGCGCTTCATGACGTGCTCTGGCCGGCGATATGGTTCGCCATCATCGAAGACACAGAGGCAGGCAAGGCGGAGACAACCGCTCTCTTGTCGGCGATGGTAAATCGTGTGTCGATGTGCGCGGCGTATGAGAAGGTTGCGGCGAGCGTGGCGTTTGGGAAGGTCGACGCGACCGTGGAGGGGAAGGCGGGTGAGAACGCGGAGATGGAAGGCGCGGAGGGTAAGGCGGACGAGAAGACGGAGATGGGGGCCCAGGCGTTAGCGGCATCTGCATGCGCCCTCTGGTGCTACATGTCGACGGGTGCGTCGGTGCTCGGTGCTGTGGGCGAAGGGAAGGCGGCCGCGATGGTGGCAGGTGCAGGGGAGGAGAGGACCGAGCGCTTCAAGAAGGTCATGCACTTGGTTTTCGACTTTGCAAAAAGTCGGAAGGCTCCCGCGGGGGAGGTTGCACATAACGTCGCGCCAGAGCTGCAGCGCTATGGAGTGGCCAGGGCCTTCGAGGCGGGAATTGAGGAAGTCGAGGCCGACATGATCGCAAGAGCGACGGTCGAGACCTTGGCGTTCTGGGGAATGTGCCCCGTCGCCGGGCCCAAGCTCAAAGCGGAGGGCATCGATGTGCCGTGTGACGCGAAGATGGAGTACGATTTGGAGAACAGGGGGAGGAAGGGTGAGAAGGTCAAGCAGGGCAAGGGCAGCAAGAGGAAGAAGACGAAGGCGGAGAAGCAGGCGAAGGACAGTACGGATGCGTAGTCGGCGGACGGATGTGTCCTAGGTTGCTAGGGTGTGTACTATGTCGGTATGGCCGGCGCCGATTTCGGCGCAGATTTGATAAATGTTTTCTTTCGTCACAAGAATCGTATTTGATACAGTTCTGTTTGCTTCACTTTGGGTTGAACAAATCGGTGTCCACATAGAAACATGCTGACCAAATATCACCTGATGGGCCATGTCAGCGCATATGTCGACATGATATGCACATGCTAGTCGGCGAGGACCGTTGACATGATAGAAACATGGTTCTCGGCGGTGAGCTTTGTCGGCAAAAGGTCGACATCGAGTTTTGCGATACCTATCGTACTGGTCGTCAGCGACAACATACACCGACAAGTAGGGTTCGCAAGGATCTCGATGTGGGTTGTTTCCAAACTACCAGAAACAGTATTCGAAGGGGAAGGGGGGGGGGGGGGCTTTGTAAGTCTGCCAAAATCAACAGCATCAAACTACGCAGACACATATCCTAGGAGGGACTTCATGCTGACTTCTTGCGCTTGGTCGGAGGACGCTGCACGGGTGCGGTCGGCTTGGCCGGTGCTGTCGACTTGGCCGGTGCGGTCGGCTTCGCCAGGTCGGCCTTGGTCTTCGGCATCTGCTCCTCCCAGGTGTCTGGAAACAGACCGATGAGCCAATCTCTCGGCTTCAGGTTGAGCGCCACAAGCACACAGGCGAGGCGAAGCTTCGCGACCACCTTGGGGCCCAGCCCCTTGACTCCCATGCCAGGCTCTTTGGACAACATCGGTGCCGTTTTCGGGTTGAGCACCGTGAGGGCGTCACAGAAGGTCCCAATGCCCGGTGCCGCGATCCTGTTCAGTGCGTCGACCACGGCCTCGGTGTCGGCGTCGCCGTCGCTCGCGCGTAGCTGGCGCACCGCATCCATGGCCTTCATCATGCGGCGCACCTTCATGTCGAGCCCACCCTGCGTCGCGCCCTTTCCTGTGAGGAGGGTGTGGCGGGCGACGAATCCCTTCTCGGCGACCCTGTCGCAAAGGCGACGGGTGTCATTGGCGGTGGCGGAGTTCCATAGGCGCCAAGCGTCCCTCACAGTCTTTGCCTCCCGCCACGGTTGCACCACGTTGAGCTCGTAACTAGCCTCCTCGTCCGTCTGTGGGGGTGGCGGGGGTTTGTCATCCCCTCTCTTGGCTCCAGCCCCCGTGCTGGCCGAATCCGCCGAGCCAGCCTCGTTGGGAGCTTGCACGGGCGCCGACGGCGGGGCCTCAGGCACTCTCCGTGCTTCCGACAAGCTGAGTGCCTCGGTGAGACGGGCTACCTCGGCGGTGAGTCCCGCGATGGTGTTGTCGCGCTTCTCGATCTCCTCCTAAAGATCAATCTTCTCGTTCGCGGCGCGCTCCCTTTCCGACTGCAGCTGTGCCTTGAGGGACATGTTGTAGTACTCGGTGTCCATGCGGACCGAGATTTCCTGCAGCGGTAGGAGAAAGACGTTAGGGTCGCGGTGGTTTGGTTAACACTACATACTGCCCGTCGGCGACAGTATCGTCGACTTACCTCTGGCTGTATTTGGGTCGGGTCGCGACGCTTGTTGATCGTCTCGGTGTCGACGCTCTCCACCCGTTTCGCCCAGTGCTGGAAGAGGGGGATCCGGCAGAGCTTGGAACCTTGGACGTACGGGTGCCATGGTGTGCGGACCAGCTTCACAGCTAGGTCCTCGGCGACGATGCGGCGCAGCATCTGGAGTGTGCGCCAGAAGTGCACCGCGGCTTTGTCGGCGTCGGACCCCTCGACAGCCTTCCCTTCTGCCTGCAATTCGTCACGTGTATTAGGTGTTCAGACACGGTCGGCAAGACGACTCGAAGACAGGGCTACGATGGCGTCGACTAACTTACCGTCTTCAGCATGTCGTCGACGCCGGGGAATATGTGCTCGGCGAGGAGCTTCAGGAGCTTGTCGGTGGGTTCCGCCCTGCTCCGCCCCAAGAAGTAGTCCTGCTTGTAACCAGAGTACCCGGCCTTCTTCATCACCACCCCCACCGGAATGGCGGTGATGTACGCCCGCGTCATCTTGTCGAGCGCCCAGTGACCCAGCTCCGCGATCTCGGCGCGCGGCGTGCCGTCGATGGCCAGCTCCTGGGCCCCTCCCGCTCGAGCGGCGTGCACGTTCCTCTTGCAGAACACCTTGTTGGTGTCCCACAACTGCCGCGTCCAGCGTTGGTGGCTTGCCGCAGAGAGCTCCCCTTGGTCGGTGTCGTTTTTGGCGAAGAAAAGGTGCTTCTTGTACCAGCTCGCGCGTGTGCTGGTGTCCACCGGCGGAATGAGGCGGACGCCGTGAAACTGGCCGATCTGGTCGAGGACGAAGTGCAGCCACAGGTCCGTCTCGCCGACGGCGCACAACTCCGCTTCGAGGTGCCGCGCCGCGTAGCTCTGCTGCAAGCGAGCATCCTTGGACGTCTTCGAGTTCCGCGCAGCGATGACCATTACGACCGGCTGGTTCTCCGGGTTCACCGACGAGGTGCTCGCCAGTCGGTACAAGAAGATGTCGGGGAGCGTGATCTCGCGGATGCTTGCACCGCGCAGGAGGCTGTGGTGGGAGAGAAGCGTGAGCACCTTGATGAGCAGAAACCTCCACAGTGTCTGCGAAGGACCCGTTCCACGCGGGTTCCACGCCTTCGCCGCCCACGTCGGCAGCACCCTCATCATGATTTGCCAAAACTGTTCGGCGGTGTAGGTATCGCCGAGGGTTCCTCGACGCCGATCGGCGCAATTCCTGCCCACAAAGCCAAGGGTAAGGGTCATTCAGGGCGGCGTCGACATCATAGTGTGGGCGACATAGATTGAACCTGCACTTACTTGATGTCCCGCTCGTTCTTGGTGCGGATCATGAACCGCACCTCCGACCTGACCACCGATATCTCCCGCATGATGCTCAGCTCCGTCTCCCGGTAGAGCGTCGCCTCCACTCTCGCCGCCATCTGGCATGCCTTTATGCGCCCGAGGAGCGTGTGCACCGTTGTGGAGTGCACAGGCTGGGCTCGCGCGGCGTTGTCCCCCTCCTCGGTGGACTCGGCATCGAGTTTACACTCACGCACCATGTACTTCACGTACGCGCGAAGCCGGGTGATGGTAACCCTTGGGCCGTGCAGCCACACGTACGCCCGGGGGACATCGGCCTCCTGGTCCCAATTCTTCTTCTTGTTGTCCCGGATGTAGTGGCCTATCTCGTCGACGTGCTTAAGCCTGTGCTCCTGGGGAAGTTTGCCGCCTATCTGCCTCAACATCTTCGCCGCCCACCTCTTGTAGTGGTATATCCAGGAGGTGTACTGCCTCAGCGTGCTGTTCTTCTCCAGGGTTTGCAGGTGGCGTAGTGCGTCCATGACGAGCACGTCGATGCACGCGTACACCATGTCTTCCTCGACGAAGTCTGCCGCCTTCCACTGTTCGCGCGGCACCGACATGTTCTCCTGGTCCGCGTCCTCGTCCTCTTCGAGCAGTTCATCTATGAATTCAAGCTCCCGCCTGAGTCGTTCGTCCAAGGTGCGCGGATTAGTGCTACGGGGTGGACGCTCGTCGTATTCGTCATCGCTTTCCTCCTCCTCCTCCTCCTCCTCCTCCTCCTCGGCATCAACTTGGTCTCCAGAGCCGGCATGTGCCGACGACGTTCCTGGCTGTCCATTTCGTGCAGGCTGCTGTTTTTTTTTCTTGTTGAACTCCCCGATCGGCGGTGGGGGAATGTCCTTGGTGAACTCTCCTTCCGGAATCTGCGTTAGCTTGTCAAGATCGTAGAGTAACGGGAGCGTCTCTTCATCGGTAGATGTAGGATTGTGGTCGGTGGGGGGACTAGCGTCGGGCATGTCGACGTCGGCCATGTCGGCCATGATTGCGCTATCGTCGTCCGTGTGCGATGCGGAGGTTGTTAAACCAGAGACGGAACTGTGTCACGGGAGCGAAATAACGATCTTCTTCGAATTCTCGCTCAATCGCGTCTAACTCGGCTTCGACCTCAAGACGTTCCAGCTCCGCTTTGATGTCGTCGTCTACTGAGTCGGCGGGGGGTGGGATGGATTGGGGCTGTTGGGCTCTATGACGACCTCTGGCCATGCGTCGCCGACTTGCTAGGTCGGCCAAGATGTCGATAGTTTGCGGCGATGTTGCCCTGGCACGTCCGATGTCGACGTCGACAAGTACTGACCTCTCGTTTTCCTAAACACCGACCTGATTGTTAGCGACCACGTAGAAGCAACATGTGCCGACGGGATCGATTTGTCGGCAGCCGACAAGCCTACAATCGCGAAGAAAGACAGGCAGCGGAGAGCAGGAAGGAAAGCAGGAACTGACAAGGGAATGAGGACAATCGGAGGGTCACGAAGGAGTACGGTCCCGAGCGTCTCCGAAGCGGCCGCGCTTCACGCAACCCCCTATGCTGCTGCCGCTATGCATGCGTTCTCCTGCGGCGGCGCAGTGTCCGACGTGTCACGTGCCAAGCATGGCTGCTGGGACGCCGCGCTGCACCCAAGGGGCGTAAGCCTGGGCCATTCCACGAGGGAATGGGCGTGTGTGACGTGGCGTGGGCCCGACATTGGCGCCTCAGAGCGGAAATAACGGCATGCCGACTTCCACCTCCCAGGGGCCCTGGATTACTGCGGGGCCGCGTGGCAACCCTACCGCGATCGCCTGGTGATCGGCGCCGACCACCCGTCGGCGCGCTTATTTGTGTGGTTAGGTTCATTGAACGTGGACACTGTTGTGACTGTGCCGCGTGGCTCGGTTGTGGACCGTTGGATGACTTGGTCGACACCGACCAAACTTGACGGTCCGATCTGCGCCGCGTGGATCGAGCACCGACAATTTTGGCGGGAGCGTCGACTTCCCGCACGAAACACTCACCGCCTGAGCGACGCGTGGCCACGACGTGAGCGTCGTGGCAGTCTTGTCATCGTGGGGGACCTCCTGGCTCGTCCCTATTGGGCCGCGTGGCAGCAGTCGCGGCTCGACGTGGCGAGCTTTCTTATTTTGTCCGTTGAGATTTCCTTCTCAGGTATCTCCCAGCGGAAACGTAGGTCGTCGGATCGTCGACAATCCCGAGGGCTCCCGTGGCCCCTGGGACGCCAGTTCGGCCCAGTTTGCCGCTCGGAAGTCGTCGGGAGGTCGTCAATCCCTTGGGGGCCCTTTGTCCTATCGGAACCGCGAATCTGGGCGGCAGTTTTCGTCCGCTGAGGTATACTTTGCCTACATGGCGGATTGCGCGCAAGAGCACATTTTAGATGCCCTTTTTTTATAGTGGCCTGTTAGTTGACTAATTAGAATAGCCCCCCAAAATAAAAAGGGTCGCACATGCCACATTCACAACATTGTCATATAGCTCACATGCGCGCGCGCTAAGAACCGTATCCGGCCCGTCACTCGCTTCCTCACGTCACCCACACATCCCCTAGACCTCATGCCGCCCCCCATCCTCCACGCTGTCCGTCGTCGCCCGCGCTTCCCCTTGTCGCCCGCGATTGCCCTATTCGCCGGCGATTCCTCTCGTCGCCCGCGATTGCCCTAGTCGCCGGCGATTCTCCTCGTCGCCCGCGATTGCCCTAGTCGCCCGCGATTCCCCTTGTCGCTCGCGATTCCCCTTGTCGCCCGCGATCCCACACACCCGCCTCCATCCCCCTTACCATCCACCCTCCTTTGCACCTACATTCCCGCCCTCCTTCGCCGCTCCCACATACCCGCCGTCCTTCCAGACGGGGAGGAGCAGCGGTTATAGACATTAGAAGAGAGAAGTTTTTCCAGCAACTTCCAGACATGCTGGATGCAACGAGCGTTGAATTAGGGTTAGATCCGTTGAATGCGCCGGCTGCAGCCGCGGCGCGAGTCCAACCGCCAAATGCCTTCTCCGTGCTCAAGTCTTTCTTCCTCATGGGGTACGTACGACACTCTTGAGGTGTGTACGAGTCTCTTGAGGTGCCTCCAAAGCCGTGCCATTCCAACAGCCACATCCCTTCTCTGTGCTACGTCGCCCGTTGTGTGAGACCTTTGAAGCGCCATATGGTTCAAATTCATTAGAAAGGTCTTCGTTTTACTGTGCTCAAGTCTCTATCAATCATGGAGTACGGCTCTCGTTTAGAGATGCTCAAAACCCAACAGATGTCCCGACTCAGCAGGAGGCAAGTTTTTTGAGTCTGACTTGAAGTTCTGCTCATTGCATGCAGTTTTTTTTCGGCCTCCCAACCTGTTTCCCTTCCATAAAAAAAAAAAAGAGGAGAACAAGGTATTAATTTATTAATGTTTCCCTTCTCCCGTTTCTCCCATTTGGCCGGTCCCTCTCGCGTGCAGCTTCTACAATTTTGGCGGCACCAAGGGTCACGTTGAGATGATGCGCAAAGAGTTTGTGGACCGGCGGGGCTGGCTGGACGACACCCAGTTCATGGAGGTGTACCGATATGCCAATGTAATGTGCTGCTGGTCTGTACTGTGCTGCTGGTCTGTACTGTGCTGCTGCTGTTGCTGTTTCAATGTAATGTCCTCGTGGTTTGTGTGTGTGTGTGATGGTGTGTGTGATGGTGTGTGTGATGGTGTGTGTGTGTGTGTGTGTGTGTGTGTGTGTGTGCGTGTGTGTGTGTGTGTGTGTGTGTGTGTGTCTAAACTACAGACATGCAAAGCTCATCTCTCTACTGCCTCCGCAATCTGAATGCACTCGCCGTAGCCCAACTGCCCGCCTGCAGGCCGTCCCCATTGGATGCAGATGGTGTGGAGGATAGTGCTGGCGACACTAGGTTGCTGTCTGTACATGGCAAAACCTAAATCAACCGAATCCCATCTCTCTCCACCCCCTCCCTGGTCTGCCTTATCCCTCCCCGCCTGCCCGCCTGCAGTCCATCCCGGCTCAACGGGGATGGAGATGGTGTGGATGGTCTGGATTGTGTGGCTGCTGTCCGTACCTAGCTCAGCCACATTCAACCGAATTCCATTCCTCTCCACCACCTCTTTGGTCTGCACCGACTCACCTTTCTGCCATCCTGCCTGCAGGCCATCCCGGGCCCCACGGGGATGCAGATGGTGGCGACACTTGGCACGTTGTGGTTGGGCACGTACCTGGGGGGATCTTGATGCTTTTCTTCTTCATGCTGCCGGGATGCCTTTCTGTATACTTTCTGGTGAGGCGGCTTGTTGCTCTGTTCAGGCCTTGTGCTGGGTTGGGGTTGACATGTGTGTTTAAGGACGTCTCAAGGCACATACGCACCTGCTGGGTGTGGCATCCTCATGCCCTTCTTTCTTCTTCACGTTGACTGGTTGCCATTCTGTGTACTTCATGGTGGGATGCCTTGCTTCCTCTGTTTGATTCATGGCATGGTGGTGAGATGCGTGAAATAAGCCCTTTCTCCTCTTTGTTCCACCACCCTCTTCTATCCCAGCCTGTTAGCTGAATCGTCTTAAAACACTCCTGAACATTGTCTTACCGCCCTCCACCACACTTCACTGCCCTCCACCCGTCTCTCCAATCTAGGTTCATGGAAACGGTGGGGCAGAGCGATTTTTTCTCCTTCAACAAACATCCTTTGTTTGATTCCACTCTATCAACCCTCCACGACTCTCCCACCACACCACCCTCCACCTGTCTTTGCAGTTGAGGTTTGTGGAGGCGCTGGGGCATAACGATTTTTTCTCGTTCAACACGAAGTGGATCACCAAGTTGGCCCCTCCAATTTTTTCTCGTTCAAATATGCTCTGACTGGACGGACAAAACACATCCTCTCTTTTCTTCACACTCTCTGGCTCCTGCCACCACTCTGCACCCCCCATCACAGTCGAGGTTCGTGGAGGGGGTGGGGCAGAACGATTTCTTCTCGTTCAATACGCAGTGGTTCACGGAGTTTGGCCCGCAGATCCCCTCCGACGAGAAGGCCTCCACCTTCTCGCAGGCCGTCGTGGGCGCCGTCGCTGCTGCCCCTGCCTACGCCCTCCTCTACTCCTTCGCCCATGCCCAGAACGTGAGTACCCAACCTCCTTAAAATACTCAATAACGCCTCTTAGAATCACACTCCATAACGCCCCTTAAAATTACACTCCATCATGCTTCCTAGAATATACATCTGCATTGTGTGAGTGATGACGAGTTCACCGGATTCGCTATGAAACTCACTCGCCCCGTTACCCATGTATACCCCTTCATCCCTCCTCCCTCCCTCCCCTTCCCCCCTCTCCCCTTCCCCCCCCCTCTTTCACAGCTCGCCACCACCACGGACAGGGCTCTCATCGCCCTCTCTCCCCCGCCTCCCCCAACCCCCCTCTCTCCCCTCCCTCCTGCCCCCCTTCCCTTCAACCCTCCCCCACCACAGCTGGCCACCACCACGGACAGAGCCCTCATCACCACCACCATAGTGACGGCCATCTTCTTCCTCCCCTCTAGCCTCTCTCTTGTATCCCCCCCCTCCTTGCCCTCTGCCCCTTCTGTTAACAACCCCTTCATCCCACCCCCCTCCCTCTCCCACACAGCTCGCCAGCACCACGGACAGAGCCCTCATTGCCATAGTGGCATCCATCGTCTTCCTGCTCGCCCCGCACCGCCTCTCCCACCTCCTCGTGCCCCTCGCGCTGCTCCTCGCCGCCCTCTTCCGCTACCTCGCCCCCTTCGACCGCCTCTTCTCCCCTCACCACCCCTCCTCCTCCTCCTCTTCCTCCTACCACTCTGCACACTCCTACTTCCCTTGGTCTGCTACCAGACCTTCCCACCCTCCCTCCTCCTCTGCCTCCTCTTCCTCTTCCACCTTCTCCTCCTCCTCTGCTGCCTCTGGCGTCCCCCTAACCTCCCAAGTGACCGATATTTTCTTCCGCCCGCTGCTCAGCCGGAGAAACACAGCTGCAAATACTCAGCTAAGCGCCAACAGTACCAGTGCTGAGCGGGCTCCACTCACAGGCCGAGGAGGCGGACGGGGGGGGAACGGCTTGGTGGGAGTGGCTGGGACAGGCTCCCTGGCTTTCAGTGAAGGGGCCGAAGGGGACGAGGAGGAGAGTAAGAAGCTGGGGAAGGGCGTGGCGGTTGGGGGGGTGGCGGGAGGGTTGGGGGAGGGTGGCGGGGCGGGGATTGCGTCTGGGGACTCGCTGGTGGTGCTGCGCGCCAAGGTGCACTCGCTGCCGTGGTCTGCCTTGCTGCTGTTTGGATGGGCCGTCACGAACCTGGCCTTTCTTTACTGCCGCACTCACGACGGGCGCGACCTGGGATGTGAGCGGAGTGTGATTTGGGCGCGACCTGAGGTGTGAGTGAATTACTTGTAGGTGGGATGTGAGTTGGGGCCAATGGGATGGGAGGAAGAGGAGTTGAACGTTGGGCAGCAGGAGGGATGTGAGCTGGGGGCTGGCAGGAGGGCGAGGGGAGTGAGGGCTTGGATGAGAGATGAGTTTGGGTGGGTCGTCATGCAAATCTTCTTACTCTGCTGCCGCGCACACGATGGGCGAGACCTGGAATGGGAGTAGAGTGGTGGTAGGAGGGATGGGAGTTGAGATTGGGTGGTAGTTGTGACAGACAGCTCGTCATTGCCGCACTCTATTGCTGCCTTGTGCACATGGCTGTGCCTCTATTGCTGCCTTGTGCACATGGCTGTGCCTCTATCCTCCCTCCTTGTTCCATCTGCCCTCTGTAATCTTTTATCTCCTCTCCCTCCCTCTCGCCAATCTCCGTTCCCCCTCCTCCCCCTCTCCCTCTCCACTCAGGCTTGCTTCTCCCCTCCCTGATCTGCTGCCCCGTGTCGTGTCGCTCGCAGGGTTGGATCCATTCCCTCTTCTCCCTTCTCTTCTGCCCGTCTCGTCCCTCTCTCTCCCCCCCCCCTGGCAGGGCTCGTGCTCACAGAGCTCATCTGCCGCTCCGTGTCACTCGGCTTTGGGGGCGACTTCTTCCCTTTTGCCATCATGAATATGGAGGTGTGTGGATGGATATGGAGGTGTGTGGATGGATATGGAGGTGTGTGGATGGATATGGAGGTGTGTGGATGGATATGGAGGTGTGTGTATGGATATGGAGGTGTGCAGATGAATATGGAGGTGTGCAGGTGAATATGGAGGCGTGGAGATGAATATGGAGGTGTGCAGATGAATGTGGAGGTGTGCAGATGAATATGGAGGTGTCCAGATAATATGGAGGTGTGCAGATGAATATGGAGGTGTGCAGATGAATATGGAGGTGTGCAGATGAATATGGAGGTGTGCAGATGAATATGGAGGTGTGCAGATTAGCTTCGAAACCTGTTCCTCCCGCTTTCCCATCACCTCTTCTCCCCCTACCCTTGCCCCCCACTCCCCCCCCCACCAGTATCTCCCTTGCCCCCCACTTCCCCACCCCCACCAGTATCTGCAGCAGAATGGCATGCTAAGACCACCAATTGTCAACGTCACGGCACCCGGTCGCCCCCACGCCCCTTCCCTTCACCGCTCCTTCCCTTCACCGCCCCTTCCCTTCACCGCTCCTTCCCTTCACCGCTCCTTCCCTTCACCGCCCCTTCCCTTCACCGCTCCTTCCCTTCACCGCTCCTTCCCTTCACCGCTCCTTTCCCCTCCGCGCATTCCTCCGTGCCCCCCGCCTCCACTCGCGCAGTATCTACAGGAGAACGGCATCCTCAGGCCACCCATTGTCAACATCGTTGCCCTCACAGCGGTCAGTCCCCCCCTCCTTCTCCCCCCTCCCCCTCCCTTCCCCCTCCCCATCCCTCCCCCTTCTTCTTCCCTCTCCCCCCCCCCTCCCTCTCCCCTCCCCCTCCCTCCCCCTTCTCCCCCCCCCTCCCCCCTCCCCTTCCCTCCCCCTTGCCTTTCTCCCTCCCCTCCCCTCCTCCCTCCACGTCCTCCTCTCCCCCTGTCCTGCTCCCTCCTCCACTCTCCGTTCTTGCATCCCTGTTTCCCTCCTCACTTTTGTGCTTCCTCACGCTTACCATTTTTCTCCCTCACGCATTCCCCACCGCCTCCTCCCTCACTCATTCCCCATTGCCTCCTCCCGCAAGCATTCCCTGCACATCTATCTTCCCTGCACATCTATCTTCCCAGCCACCCCACCACCCATCTGTCTTTTCATGCATCACCCCGCCTCTTCCTCCCCCCCTACCCCCCCTCCCTGCCCTCTCCCTGCCACGTCATCCCTCTCCCTGCTCTCTCCATGCTCTCTCCATGCTCTCTCCATGCTCTCTCCATGCTCTCTCCCTGCTCTCTCCATGCTCTCTCCCTGCTCTCTCCATGCTCTCTCCATGCTCTCTCCATGCTCTCTCCCTGCTCTCTCCCTGCTCTCTCCATGTCCGTGCCCTCTCCTGCAATCTCGCTCCGCCCCTCAATCTCCTTGCGTGTTGCCTGGATCTCTTCTGCCCACCCGACCATCGTGCTTTCTGTTCACGACCACTTCTTGTGAGAAGCCTCGAAACCCACCCGCTCCCCTCCTCTTGCTCCGCCTCCCAATGTGCTGCCCCTCTTTCGTGTCCTCATTGCCCATCAGACCATTATGCTGCCGGGCCATTACTACTCTGCTGTCACCTTTATAGCCATCTACAGCATTGGTAAGCTCAGCTTTCTCAGAGGTCCTTTTTCAAGCAGCAAACATTCATGTGCATTCTCTTGGGTTGATTCACGAGGCACCTCAAGAAGCTGCCCAGCCACTGCTACTCTGCTGTTGCCTTGATAGCCATCTACAGCATTGGTACGCAGAGTTGTAACTCGCGATGATAAGCAGTTGTAACTCGCGATGATAAGCAGTTGTAACTCGCGATGATAAGCAGTTGTAACTCGCAATAGTATGCAGAGAGAGATGCAACTCTCGATGGTGAGTGGACCTTTGCAAGGTACAACCAGGTTTTCCAAAAATACTGTTGCAATGCAAGCAGAACTGTAACTCTTCTTACCGATTCTGTAGATAGCAACAAGTAATCTTTCCACGTGTTTTGAGGCACCTCAAAAGTAGCTCTGCTTGCTGAGAATCAAACAAGCTTTGCACATGAAAGCTGTGTTTGACGCGACAAGTCATGAGGCACCCAGCCACTATTACCCTGCCATCACCTTCACCACCATCTACAGAATCGGTAGGCAGATTTTTAACGTGCAACGGTGGTAAGCGGCAGTAAGCAATGGTATGGTAAGTGGTCCTTTGCAGCAGGCATTATCTCCTCGTGTTTTCCACATAACCACTTGTCTTGTGCCTCTCCTCCCACAATCCCGCACTCATCTCATCCCACGAAAGCTAATCTGTCTTGAGACGTCTCAAAACAAAGTTTACTCAACTTAGCTAGCTACAACCAATGTTACAAGACACGATCTCTTCACGTGTTTTCCACATAGTCGTTTGTCTTGTGCCTCCCCTCCCACAACCCTCCTCTCATCCCACGCTCAGGCGTGAAGGGAGTGGTGGTGGGGCTAATGGCAGTGGCTGTACCAACCTTCCTCTCCGCCTTCTCCCTCCTCCCTCTCTGGGACTCCTTACAACGCGACCAGGTATGCCCCATTCCCCTCTTGCTTAGAGCTCTCAGGAGCCACACACCATTGCTCCCACCCTAAACCCTCTCTGGGACTCCTTACCTTACGACGTGACCTGGTATGTGCCATTCAACCTTTGCTAAGCAGCTCTCAGCTGCCACATACATACCATAGCAGCTTAGCTTCCCCCCTTCCTCGAATGGTCCTTGTATTAAACAGAAGGGCACATAAGGCATTTAAGGCAGTGACCATTTAAACAGCAACCTATGGGAGCTCGAGGCAGGGCTGGAGCACATGTACGACATGACATCTCCTGTGACCAGTTTTCCGCCCTTACTCCCTCTCTGGAACCCCTTAAAACGCGACCTGGTATGTGCCATTCAACCCTTGCTTACAGCTTTCAGCTGCCCCATACCTTAGCAGCTTCACTTCCCCAATTCCTCCCTCTCTGGATCTCCTTACAACGCGACCAAGTGTGGCTCACCCAACCCCAGGCGCCACAGCCCATATCAGGCACCAAAGCCCATATCAGGCACCACAGCCCATATCAGGCACCACAGCCCATATCAGGCACCACAGCCTATATCAGGCACCACAGCCTATATCAGGCACCACAGCCTATATCAGGCACCACAGCCTATATCAGGCACCACAGCCTATATCAGGCACCACAGCCTATATCAGGCACCACAGCCTATATCAGGCACCACAGCCTATATCAGGCACCACAGCCTATATCAGGCACCACAGCCTATATCAGGCACCACAGCCTATATCAGGCACCACAGCCTATATCAGGCACCACAGCCTATATCAGGCACCACAGCCTATATCAGGCACCACAGCCTATATCAGGCACCACAGCCTATATCAGGCACCACAGCCTATATCAGGCACCACAGCCTATATCAGGCACCACAGCCTATATCAGGCACCACAGCCTATATCAGGCACCACAGCCTATATCAGGCACCACAGCCCTAAGTTGGAATATACGCGTATCGCGTTTTGTACGCATGCGTGTATACGCGAGAGAATAATACGCAATACGTCTGAAGAGGATGTCGAAATACGCTTGAAATACGGAGGTGCGGGCAGGGTAAAAACTTTTCCGGGCAGGGCAAAATACCTTTTTTCTGGAGAGGAGAGGGGGAGGGGGTGCTTTATACCCACATCTATCCCCTCGGATTTTTTTGGAGAGGGGGAATTTTCGCGGATATGAGGACGGAAGTGCTATAAAATGACATCATCGCTATCTTCCCAAAGCACCAGCGCGGTGGAACCTTCCGCAGACGCAATCTGAACCTACTCGCACTCGCAGGATTGCTTGAGCAAGTAGACATGACTGCAGCGGGTTAAGAAGCTTAGCGCAAAGTTCTGGCAAGCGATGTGTGAGAGTCGACTACGGAATTGAAGAATGCTTAGGTTAGGTCGAGCTCTCCGTTGTACATGTGCCTGGTTTGTGTGCGTGGATTTCTTCGTGGGGGTGGATAGATTGGATCTGAGAGGTGTACTGAGTTTCAATGCGGTTGGAAGCTGTACAACCTTCGAAATCGAAATTTGGGAGCCCAAATTGAGTTCGCGACATTCAACACATAAATCCGCATCGTAAGCTCGCAATTTCCGGTTTTTTTTTTTCGACGGGCTGCCCGCCCAAAATCCAGGCGTATTTCAAGCGTATCGCGTTTTTGCGTTTATACGCCAGCGTATAAACGCAATACGCCTTGGAAGCCGAGCGTATATTCCAACTTAGCCACAGCCTATATCAGGCACCACAGCCTATATCAGGCACCACAGCCTATATCAGGCACCACAGCCTATATCAGGCACCACAGCCTATATCAGGCACCACAGCCTATATCAGGCACCACAGCCTATATCAGGCACCACAGCCTATATCAGGCACCACAGCCTATATCAGGCACCACAGCCTATATCAGGCACCACAGCCTATATCAGGCACCACAGCCTATATCAGGCACCACAGCCTATATCAGGCACCACAGCCTATATCAGGCACCACAGCCTATATCAGGCACCACAGCCTATATCAGGCACCACAGCCTATATCAGGCACCACAGCCTATATCAGGCACCACAGCCTATATCAGGCACCACAGCCTATATCAGGCACCACAGCCTATATCAGGCACCACAGCCTATATCAGGCATCACAGCCTATATCAGGCACCACAGCCTATATCAGGCACCACAGCCTATATCAGGCACCACAGCCTATATCAGGCACCACAGCCTATATCAGGCTATACATGGTCAAAGTGACGAGTCGAGCAATACTCGACTCGCCACTGGTCTTGCTCGCCAAGCTTTTGCCTCGAGTCGAGCAAAACTCTGATGAGCAAATTTCAACTTTTTGCATACTCGTGACTCGTCCCTTTTGGGGATGCTCGGGCGAGTTTAGGGAGAAACTCGTCCGAGCAAAAGTAATGCTCGACTCGCCACCCTGTGCCTTGTAACTGCAAAATTTACCCCTACATAAATTTCCTATACAAGACATGTCTAGGTTGCATTCGTCGACATGATGCTCCGTTTGTATCTTAGTGATATTTTGCGACTCGTTTTTTTTCCTTAGATGCTGAGGTGAAAGATGCTATGCTAAGCGATCAGCTAGGTACTAAGTTGCCTAGTCTACGAAATTAGGTCAGAAAACGAGCGCGGTAGTAAGACTGTTGAGATGGGGGGGGGGGGGGGGGGGGGGGGGGGGGGGGGGGGGGGGGGGGGGGGGGGATTGAAAGGAGATGTGAGTCGCGTCAAACTGTTTCGCGATAACAGTTCGCGAACACTTTTGACTAGATCGCAGGTGATTCGCGGTAAGGCACGACACAATTTCACCCGCTCGCCAATTTCGCGAGCGGTGGAAATTGTGGTGGTTGGGTACAAACGCGTATCTCAGATCTGTACCCAACCATTGAACTGTTGGATGTGGTGGGAAACATCCGTCACTTTACGGATTGAGTGTGGATGTGCTGGCGAAACTGCAGGGAAAGTGGTTGGGACCACTTGGCGGGTTCAGATCTGGCCCCAACTTTTCCCGCGAATTTGAACCCCAGGCAAAAGTTACGCGACGAGTTTTGTATGCTCGTCGAGTTCAATAAAGCTCGACGAGCACAAAAAACACCAGAAAATGCTCGTCGCCATGACCGAGCAAGTGACGAGTTACAAAAGCTCGCCGAGTAAAACTCGACTCGCCTCGGGCGAGTTTTTCTCATAAAAATCCAGGCTCGTCACTCGCCCCCTGACGAGCATCTCGGACGAGTCGAGCTAAAACCCCACCCTCGATGCCCATGTATATATCAGGCACCACAGCCTATATCAGGCACCACAGCCTATATCAGGCACCACAGCCTATATCAGGCACCACAGCCTATATCAGGCACCACAGCCTATATCAGGCACCACAGCCTATATCAGGCACCACAGCCTATATCAGGCACCACAGCCTATATCAGGCACCACAACCCATATCAGGCACCACAGCCCATATCAGGCACCACAGCCTATATCAGGCACCACAGCCTATATCAGGCACCACAGCCTATATCAGGCACCACAGCCTATATCAGGCACCACAGCCTATATCAGGCACCACAGCCTATATCAGGCACCACAGCCTATATCAGGCACCACAGCCTATATCAGGCACCACAGCCTATATCAGGCACCACAGCCTATATCAGGCACCACAGCCTCTATTAGGGATGAGCAGAGGGCGAACTCGAACATGTTCGAGTTCGCCCCTTGTCGAACATCTCCTTCGGCCGAACCGAACAGTGTTCGGTTCGGCGAACTATTTAGGCGTAGGCAGGTGTTCGCCGTTCGCCCTAGGGGGCGAACGATTTGTTTCTGCGGGCGAACCCGAACATGTTCGAGGCGAACAGGTTCGAGTTCGTCCAGGGGGAAATTCGTTTTAGTCACAGAGATCAGAAAGGGGATTTTGAGGGTCCGGAAGATAGATAGGGGTTTGCAGGGTGTGTAGGTGTCTGAAAACGCTCACTGTACTACACAACCATCATGTTTCGTGAATATACGTGTCAATGTCAAATAAAATCCTACGCCTGAGCGCCACTGCTACTACCAACAACAGCATCCTCCCCGCCAGCTGTGTCGCCAGCACTCACACCCTCCTCCGCCTCCTCCTCCTCCTCCTCCTCCTCCTCCTCCTCCTCCTCCTCCTCCGCCTCCTCCTCCTCCTCCTCCTCCTCCTCCTCCTCCTCCTCCTCCTCCTCCTCCTCCTCCTCCTCCTCCTCCTCCTCCTCCTCCTCCTCCTCCTCCTCGTCCTCCTCCTCCTCCTCCTCCTCCCCCTCGCCTTCAATGGCAAACTCTGGTGGTGCGACGCCTCTTGCACGGCGGCCCTCGCTTATCCTCTGGCCAGGGTGTGAGCTGTACCATGATCTGAGAATCATGACAGCTCGCGTCCTCTGAGAGGCCAGGCGGTGCCGCTTCCAGGAGATGAGGTTGCGGCCAAGAGAGAACACGAGCTCGCTCGAAGCGGACGTGGCAGGGATGGCGAGATAATCCCGGGCCATGCGCCTCAGCGTCTGCATGTTGGTGGCAGTGCGCCAGTACTCCAACGCTGTCACGTCGCACCGCACCCTCTCGGACAAGTACCTGCTAACCTCGTCATCCTGCACCATCCCGCCCCTCCCCGCCTCCTGGCTCGCTGACAGACGCGCCGCAAGTCGTCTCCGACTAGGGAGAAACTGCGCGTCTTCGTCGTCATCCGCCTCGTCCCTCTCCTCCTCCTCCGTCACGGGGGCAAGTGGGGTCGGCCGGGGTGCAAGCGCTGCAGCCCGGGCCTGGTACTCGGCCACGCGGTCGCGTACCAGCTGGATCACCTCGCCTGACGTGGGACGCGGCCTCACCCTCCGCTCGGTCTCGGGATGCATCGTCTCCTAGTGCGCGTCGTCGAACCACGCCGCCTTCATGGAAGGGTCCAGGAAGGTGGCGATCCACAAATCGTTGCTGGACATGAGTTCATACTTCTTCAAGAGACCCAGCGCCGCCTCAATCATCAGCTTCAGCGTAGCCGATGGCCCCTTGGCAAGGCGCGACTCCATAGCGTCGATAAGGCCGTTGTAGTACGGGACCACCATCGCCACTGTAGGGTACGCCGCCCCCTCCGCCGCCTTTGAAACTTTGGCGAATGGGCTGAGGAACGTCTTGACAGCATGCAGGGTCTCCCAGTCTGCGTCCGTCAGGCGCAAGCTCTCCACCTTCTTCTTATCAGCCTTCGACAAGCCCGGTCAGGTAGAGGGTTTGGTTTGGCGGGTGGTAAGAGGGAAACTGGGGTTATTGATGTTGTTGGGGTCTGATAACATACAACAAGCATGGCCAACAGTGTTATATGGTAGTGCTAAAACACAACACCCCGACATACCCACTCATTGAACCCCTCACACAACACCTGTCACACACACCTGTGTCTGGGCAGAGAAGACAGTGATGGGTTCCTGCAGAACCTCGGCTCGCTCGACCATGTCGTGGGTCGACCCCCAGCGCGTGGGACTGTCCTGCACCAGCTTCAACGCTGGCTTCGGTTTGGCGGGGTTGGCCTGCGCGTTCAAGGTCTGCTGAAGGCCCAAGAACTTCCCTGAGCACTGCGGCGAGAAGCCAATCCACGACGCCATCTCTCTCAGAATCTTCAACAAGTTGTTCACGCGGGAACGACACACCCAAACTCCCACATAGCCAGCCCACGCACACTCCCATTCTTACCGGAAGTGCATGCGCAAGTTGAAGAAGCACTGACCACCACCCTCCTCCGACAGCCGTCTGAAAGCGACGATGTTGCTAGAGGCGTTGTCTGAGGTGAAACCCAGACAACGCCCCTCCAGCCCCCACTGCACCACCGTGTCCTCAACCACCCTTGCCATCTCCTTGCCCCCATGCCGCCCGTGCATCTCGCGGAACTCAAGCACCATTGTGCGCAGCTGAAAGTTCTCGTCTATCCAATGACCTGTCACCACTATCCACGCCCTGTTGTTGGGTGCCGTCCACATGTCGATAGTGATCGACACCTTGCACCCCAACTCCCCCTCCTTTGCCAGCATCTCCGCAATGGCTGACTGAAGAGCGGCTGCTGCATAGACCACAGTGTCGCGGGAAACCGTCCAGCGCGAGGGGATGAAGTTCTTCTGCGCGCAGTGGCGGTTTAGCAGGATCAATAGCTCCCGAAACTGGAGAAAGGGTAGAGACAACAAGGGAGGCAGGAAACCGCGTACACATTGGAAACCGCACAAGGCCGCAGGGGAGAGAGTAGGGAAGGGAGAGATGGCAGCGATGCGAGAAAGCAGGGAAGGGAGACGTGGCAGCAGGGGATAGAGCATGGAAGGGAGATATGGCACATAGGGAGAGAGCAGTGAGGGGAGGCATGGCAGCAGGAGAGAGAGAATGTAAACCAGACATGGCATTAGCGCATTGCGTTGGGGGGGAGACATGGCAGCAGGGGAGAGAGTAGGGAAACCAGACATGGCAGCAGGGGATAGAGTAGGGAAACCAGACATGGCAGCAGGGGATAGAGTAGGGAAACCAGACATGGCAGCAGGGGAGAGAGCGAGGAAGGGAGAGATGGCAGTGAGGGAGGGAGCAGGAGAGGGAGACATGGCAGCAGGGGAGAGAGTATGGAAACCGCACATGGCAGCAGGGGAGAGAGTAGGGAAGTGAGGGATGGCAGCTAGGGAGACAATGCGTCCAGGAGAGGGGCTGCAGTGTGTGGAGTGGGGCACTCTCTCCCCTACCACACTGGATTGGGCACTCACAGCCTCGGCCTCGACGATGCGGAAGGGGAGGTCACAGGTGACCACCAGCTTGGCGATCGCCTGCCGTAGCTCCACCGAGGTAAGCTTGGTTGTCATGAACCGCTCGATCCCGCCTGACCCCTGACCTCCACCATCCGCCTTCCCTTTCTTCCTGGCGAGATGCGGCCAAGTCTTGGCATGCGGCCACTGCTCGACGTAGCCATCCGGCACACCTTTGTAGCCCCCACGGGGAAACGTCTCCCCTAGCAACTGAACGGACGGGTTGTGGTAACGGTGATACCACACGTGCATGTGCGCTGTGTGGTAGCTCTCGAAGTGCCGCTCGCCGGGTGTTGTTGTGGATTGCTTCCACGAAATCCTGTCAGTGCAAATCTTGCACTGACGCTTCTCGTCTGTCCCTTTCGGTCCGAAAATCTGTACTTGCCACCCCGGTTTCCTGTTCCCCCCCTTAGCAGTCCCCTTACTACTCTCGGACCCTCCGTCCTCGTCTAGGAACTCCGGAGCGATCACACCCTCGCCCAAGGGCTCCCCAGTGAACGTGCAGGGATACGCACGCTCCCTCAACTTGTTCGCCCTCTTCCTCCGCCTCGGCGCCTTAATAGATGCGGCCTTTCTCCCCACCTTAACCCCCACGCTCCCTCCGCCTTCACGCACATGCTGTGATCCCGCCTCTGTCGTCGCCCCTCCACCACCCTCTCCCACCTCCTCCTCCTCCACCTCCTCTGGCTCCAACCCATCCATCTCATGGTCTTCATCATCATCCCCCCCCTCCCCACCGCCATGCGTCTCTGGGTCCCACCCGGCCTCACTGTCATCCTCGCTCCCCTCGTCATCCTCATCCTCCTCGCCCTCACCCTCCTCCTCCTCATCCTCCTCCCCACTGAGACTCTCCGGCCGCGTCTGCCCCGAAGGAGGGGGTCGAGGGCCGTCGTAACGGAAAGAGTGACGAGATGATGGCGCCGCTAAGGAAAGAAACCCCCCCACGAAGCAAGCGCCGGCTCCTCCAGGTCCATCCCCTACTCGCCCCTCCATAGGTCGTGGTGGGGAACCTGGTGCGCCGCCCTGAGCGCTGCCTGCACCTCGTGCTAAAGATCCACCATGGCCGGAAGCCATAACTCCGCCCTCGGCCCTAAAACCCTAAAACCCCCTCGAAGCAACAGTCGCATTCGTCGTGTAGCACGGTCCTAAACGTATTCCAGCACGTGTAGGTTTCTGAACTGCCCGACCCGAACCCTACGGCTTTGACCACGCGCTGCTTGATCCCTATGCTACTCAACCTTAAAGTTACCCTAAACACACTACACTACGGGAAAGCCTAGATCTAATCTCCGTGTAGATTAGTGGTAACGGTGTGCGAAAGCTTCTTAAACAACAAGGCTAGGGCGGTTGTGTGAGGGAGGGATAAGCTGTAAAAGCAGTTTGAGTTTGAGCTCACGAAATGAGCTCAAACTCAAAACGGTCGCGACCTAAATTTGGTCGCGGCCAATTTTGACGCGAACACTTTGATGTTCGCGGGGCCCCCATTTCGAACACGAACGTGTTCGTGTTCGACTTGGGGGCCCCAAATTGCAGTGTCGAACGGCGAACATGTTCGGCCGAACACCGAACATGTTCGCCCCGAACATTTTAGGCAAAAAAAAAAGACTGTTCGGTTCGCCTCGAGCGTTCGGGAATTTGCTCATCCCTAGCCTATATCGGCACCACAGCCTTTGCCAGGTACGCTTGCCGTCTCCCAATCCCACGGGGCCTATGAGCGAAGTTTTTTACACTGTCAGAAGTTCTTCACACTCTCTGACGTATACCCTTGCAATCGCTATTCAACCCCACACCACAGTGCCGAGGGGCTGCAGCGGCTGGAGCTGGGCTAGCTAGCTGGAGCTGGAGTGGAGCTGACTGCTTTCAAGACTCTGTGACAAGGTTGTTGACACTTTATGACGTATGCTGTTGCCATCTCCCGTCACCACCACAGGGCCTGGGGGCGGCAGTGGCTGGAGCTGGGCTGGCCGGAGCGGGAGTGGAGATTGCTGTTCTGCTGCACCTGCTGCTGCAAGTGGTGGGTGTCATTGTCAATAAATAAGTGATTCAACAATGAAGTGTCGGTTGAAGTAATCATGAAGCTGATACAGAGGCACGAGGTGCAGCAGTGGCAGGAGGTATCTCAATTGTTTTTGCACCCGTTTCTGCAAGTGCTAGCATTGGGTAGAGAGCCCTAAGCATTCTAAGACATTGAATACTTGTTAAACTACATACCTCAAATGGTTAATTGTGCGCGCCTTCTGCTGCATTGGAGTTACTTTTGAGAATTCTCAAAAGCATTTCTTAGTGGTTCCTTCCTTGTGCCTGCTGCTGCAAGTGATGGCCCTTCTCTTCCCGGTTTCACCTTGAGGCGCTTCAAAAGTTGTTCCCTGTATCAACTTGCCACAATCTGTTCTCGGGCTTTCAGCCACCTCAGGACACCACAGCCAGCCTCAAACGGACTTGCCATGAAGAAAATACCTATTTCTGATCTCTGCTTTTCTTTCTTCTGTTGTGGCCCTTTTGGCTGCAGGCAACAACAACAGGGCCGCTAGCTGTGGGCATTCTCACGGCATCATTGGTTGCAGCCTTCCAGGTGACTGTGCTTGCTGGGTACTGTGAGAATGTTTGTATGTGTTCGATAATCATGTGTGCTTAATATTCATATGTGTTTTGACTCGACTCAACAAACGCCTGGTAACCAACACTGGTAACCAACACCGGTAACCAACACCGGTAACCCGCCACTGATAGGCGACACTAGTAACCACAGCAGGGTGCTAGCTGCTGCCAGCACAGCATCACTGTTTGCAGCATTCCCAGTGACTGCTGTTAACAGGTTATTTGGTTCTTCTTACATGCTGGTTAGGTGCTTCTTATGTGCTGGTTGCATGGTTGATCATGGTTATTTTTGGTTACGTTGCTGCCAAGGGCCGTGGGGTGGTGGGTAACAGTGACAGCTTGTCTATGTGTTCATTGATATCCTTTTGAGGCGCATCAAAAGTCCTGTGTGCTCACTGAATGTATCCCCTCTCTACAGTGACAGCTTGCCCATGTTCTCACTGCATCAAAAGTCCTGTGTGCTCACTGAATGTATCCCCTCTCTAAAGTGACAGCTTGCCCATGTTCTCACTGATGATATCCCCTCTCTACAGTCTTCTGCAAACTCCAACACCAATAGCCGTGACGGCATTCTGAGTCCACTCATACATTACCTTACGTGCTCAGCCTACCGATATTCCCTTGCTACATAAATGCCGTGCAGACTCCAGCGCCAATAGCTGTGGCAACAGGGTCAGCATTCGGGCTTATTCTCTATCTGGTGGGTGCTTCTCTATCTGGTGGGTGCTTCTCCTCACCCCATCCTGCTGCTCGCCGCCTCGTCGTGCTGCTCGCCACCCCATGTTCTTAGCTTCATTTCGTCCTCCTTTTCAGTACAAGCATTCATGCACGTGTTGAGCTTGATGTGAGGTTGCTGTCAAGCATCTGACTGTCTTTGAGTCGCCTAAAAGAATCCTAGGGTTGCTGCTGTCAAACATCGGCGTTTTTCTCAATGCTCGTTCACACTACATCGAAGCCTCTCACTGGAGCATTGCAAGTCAACAGTGACAATGGGGGTTTGTTTGATTTGCAAGTGCAGTGTGATATCTGGATCATTATAATCCGTCAATGCCAATGAATTGAACGCTCGGCAGCTGCTACAATCTGATCTGACGCAAGGCAATTGCCACCTCACCTTTCTGCCATGTTGCTCAAACTCTTAATGCCTGGTTGTGAGGCGTGCCGCGTGTGGTTGTGTTTCCCTTGCTTGATGCGTGTGTGTGGGAAGGATGGTGTTGCTCTGTTTTTTGTGTGCATGTGTGTGCATGTGTGTGCATGTGTGTGTGTGTGCATGTGTATGTGTGTGTATGTGTGTCTCTGCCTGTGGTGTGTCACCGTGCAGTTCAACATCGGAGGTCCGTACTGCTGGGTGCCAGCATACATGCGCCTCAACCCTGAAATGGTCAAGCCATGCCTTCTCCTGCACAACCTCAATACACTCTTGTTCACGCGCTATTGAAGTCGTCCCCCTTGTTTTTCTCAGAAATTCAAAGGAACACTGCATGATGCATTTTTGCCATTGAAGTGGCCCTGTATTCGTGGAATGGTTAGGAATGCGTTTTTGTATGTCTTGACATACGGTAGCGGCACCTCTAATCTCACAAGTTGCAATTGCTAGTAGCCATGTCAATGTTCTACCAACATCTGCTGAGTCTTTTTGGACGCTCGTGCTGCTGTGCTTTTGGAAGAGCACACAGGTCTCTTTGGCTAAGACAGGTGTCATGTCATTGGCTAACACAGGTGTCATTGCCTAACACAGGTGTCATTGGCTAACACAGGTGTCACTGGCTAACACAGGTGTCATTGGCTAACACAGGTGTCACTGGCTAACACAGGTGTCATTGGCTAACACAGGTGTCACTGGCTAACACAGGTGTCATTGGCTAACACAGGTGTCACTGGCTAACACAGGTGTCACTGGCTAACACAGGTGTCACTGGCTAACACAGGTGTCACCGGCTAACACAGGTGTCACTGGCTAACACAGGTGTCACTGGCTAACACAGGTGTCACTGGCTAACACAGGTGTCACTGGCTAACACAGGTGTCACTGGCTAACACAGGTGTCACTGGCTAACACAGGTGTCATTGGCTAACACAGGTGTCACTGGCTAACACAGGTGTCACTGGCTAACACAGGTGTCACTGGCTAACACAGGTGTCACTGGCTAACACAGGTGTCACTGGCTAACACAGGTGTCATTGGCTAACACAGGTGTCACTGGCTAACACAGGTGTCACTGGCTAACACAGGTGTCATTGGCTAACACAGGTGTCACTGGCTAACACAGGTGTCACTGGCTAACACAGGTGTCACTGGCTAACACAGGTGTCACTGGCTAACACAGGTGTCACTGGCTAACACAGGTGTCACTGGCTAACACAGGTGTCACTGGCTAACACAGGTGTCACTGGCTAACACATTTGATTCTTGCCGACCCTACCATAAAAAGCAGGTATTGGTTTCTACGACATACCGGTAGGTCAAAACTGCTTTTTGCGGATAAAGAAAACAACATGCACATTGCAAGCACAAGCCCATTATCAGTAACCTACATACATGCCTACAGACAACGTCCACATTACAATACAATCATGATGTCCCGGCTCCCACATTAAAAAGAAAAAGCCCACTTCGAAACCTACAACGAAACCCACTTTAAATCCACAAATATGATAGTGTGTGAATCCTTTTAGCAGCAGTGGTGCCTTGATGCGAGCAGCAGTGGTACCTTGATGCTGAGGATGCTTGGCTTGAGATTTGAGGTGTTGCTATCCCGACTAGCCTAGCCCCTTTGCTGGTGACTCTCCCACTCCCGCACCAAACAGAAAAGAGTCGAGGAACAAAACAAAGCAACGGTCAGCAGAATTAAGGGCTGGGTATGTTTGCTCAAGGTGGATGTGGAAAGATCAAGGGACCAGGACGGCATGACGTGGCAGGTGGTGAACTGCAGAGAGTTGGGGAGAAAGAGAAGCAGCTCACCCTGTTTTCCCATTCCATCGAAACCTAGTAGTAATATCCCGTTGGAGGGGTTGATGGGATGCACTTGTTCCTCCTCTTCACGTATCCAGCCTTGCAGCGACACGCAGGCTTGTTGCCCACCAGTGCACACTCAGCATTGCGAGCGCAGGCACGCTCGCACACGGCTGACAACGGGGAAAAGGAGTGCACGAGGAATGGGAGGAGAAAGAGTGGAACACGCAGCGTGTTGATGTGTCCGATCACGTCTCAAACACGACATGCACGCTGGACATTACAAGATAGGAAGGACGGATGAACAAGGCCAAACAGTGTGCAAGTGCAGTGCAGGAGAGAAAGAAAGAGGGAGGAGGGTGAGAAGGAGGAGGCTCACCAACGCACTGGCCGTCTACCATGTTGAGCCCCTCATTGCAGATGCAGGGCGGGTCGGCAGTGGCATTGCAGGTGGAGTTGGTCGGACACACAATGGTGGCACAGGAGGGTGGGGGCGCTGCACACAGCAGGGAAAAGGCAAGCAAGGTGCGCGGGAAGCAAGCGTGAGAGACAAGAGGGTGAGAAGAAAGCGGGAGAGGCAAGAGGGTGAGGGACAAGAGCGAGGGGCAAGAGGGTGAGCAGCAAGAGTCAGAGGGAAGAGAGAGAGAAGGAAAAATGAGGGAAAGAAGAGAGAAGGAAGAGGAGTTGAGAAAGTGGGTGCGAAAGAGGAGGCTTACCAACACACTGGCCGTTTGTCATCTCAAACCCTGCATTGCATATGCAGGGCGGGTCGGCAGTGGCATTGCAGGTGGAGTTGGTCGGACACACAATGGTGGCACAGGAGGGTGGGGGCGCTGCACACAGCAGGACAGGGGCGAGCAAGGGGCGAGGGAAGCAAGGTTGGGTGGGCGAGTGCGTTGGATTGGAGCGCATGAGAAGCATGGGGGCTCTCCCACTCGTACACATGATGCAGAAGGCCCCTCCCTCGCATGGGAGGCAGAGGCAGGCACGAGTCAATCCCTTGAAAACATGACAGCAAAGAGAGGAGGTGGAGGAAATAGCTTCAGGGAGAGACACAAGAGAAGAAATGGTTGTGAGGCATGAATGATTGCTGAGTGACGTTGGCACGTGGTGGCAGCGGCACTGAAATGGGAGTCTCCAGGGCACACGCACTGCCATGCTCGCTATTTGACAGACGCAGGGATGAACGTGGCATCCACACCCCAGCATGCCCCACTCTCCCACACCCACACCCCAGCTTGCGTCCCTTACGACACACTCACACTCACACTCACGCATCAAGCGAGACTCACCACGGCACTGCTTGGCAGTGGCGTCGAAGCCTAGAGCCCTAGCGCACACACACTCGCCCTTGCTGTCCCTTATTGTGCACTTGGCCTCCACCCCACAGTCCACATTGTCTGTGGGACAAGTATGGGGCGATTGTGCAGGCAGGGAGGAGGGATACGGAGGGAGTGAGGAGGAGATGGACACAGTGAGGTTCATGGTTCAATTCACGACTCACGCCAGTCAGAGGCATGGTAGAGTAGTGTGCGCGCAGTAGAGCAGGCGAATGATTTGCAGGAGCACAGCACTGAGAGTGATGTGGCGGCCGATTCATGAGAAGGCGTGTGACACACGCCATGTGTCATACACCTGCCTCGTGTCAGAATTGTCAAACAATGCATATTGTGTTTGTGTAGGCTGCTAGTGGGGTAGCCCATATGGGGTACAACCCAATGTTAGGGTTAGCTTATGTACCCAACTCTTGATCAATGCATTCATTCTTGTCTCTAGATTCTGACATGGTATCAGAGCAGTAGGTCCGTAGGACCGGTTTTTTTTTCGGGCCCACCTACCGCTACCTTATGCCTGTGCCTCTGCCTGTGACGTGCTGCGCTGCGCGCGCCGTCTGCCTGTAGCCTACTGCCTGCTGCCTACTGTGTTGTCTGCTGCTGCTACCGCGCAGACCTAAGTAACGCACGCTGCCCGCTGCTGCCTCGAGCGTCGCCCTCGCTGCTCGCGCCGCTCTGCTGCCCCTCACACTTGCTGTAGACTCTGTCTGTACTGTGATCTTTATATATATATACCTGCATGCTTGCTCTTGCTAGGTAGTGATCACTGTACTTTGTTTGTTGCATATATACCTCTGCATGTGGACTGGCCTTGTGGCCCTTTGCTTGTGCTCAGTCTGTGTGGTGACGTTGTGATCCACCCTGAGCTTGGTTTGTTTCTCTTGACTGGTCTTGTGACCCCTTGTTCTCCCCCACTTTGCCTATGGGGGTGTGTCAAACAATGCATATTGTGTTTGTGTAGGCTGCTAGTGGGGTAGCCCATATGGGGTACAACCCAATGTTAGGGTTAGCTTATGTACCCAACTCTTGATCAATGCATTCATTCTTGTCTCTAGATTCTGACAAGAATCACAGGCAGGAATAAAGAATGAAGAAAGGAGGGCTTTCACTAGCAGTAGTTGGGATACATATAGCAAACCCTAACTGGGTTGTACTCGCTACAGAGCACCCCACTACAGGCTAGATAATAACATTCTGACACACCCCCATAGCCAAAGTGGGGTGTAATCAGCACAATAAGCAAGCAAAGCTAGAGGCTATCATAGAGGGCAAGTGAGGAGGAGGAGAGACTGTGGGGGCGAGAAGATGGGAGGCGACGGCTGAAGCTGCAGACACACGGGCAACAGGAGGACTGGCACAGTGGCTACCGAGCGCACGAGGGCACCGGACTACGGGAGTAACAGGCTCTGCGGC